GGCGGCGCGCGGCGGCGCGGCGGGAACGGCAACGGGAAGGGGAACGGGAACGGGAAGGGGAACGGGAAGAGGAGCGGGAGCGGGAGCTGGAAGGGGAACGGGGACGGGAAGGGGCCCGGAGCGGGAACGGGAAAGGGAAGGGGAAGGGGAACAGGAGTGGCAACGGGAATGGGAAGGGGGACGGGAATGAGAATGGGAACAGGAAGGGGCCCGGTTTGGGAACGGGAAGGGGAATGGGAACAGGCCTGGAGCGGCAACAGGAACGGGAAGGGGAATGGGAAGGGGAACGGGAACGGGAAGGGGCCCATGGAACGGGGTGGGAATGGGAATGAGAATGGGAATGGGGCTGGAGCGGGAAGGGGTCTGTCCCATCCCATCCCATCCCATCCCACATCCCCCTCGGCAGCCTGGCCTCCATTCAGCCTCGCAGCCGGCCCCTTCCCTCCTCCCTCCATCGCAGGGGACACAAGAGCTGGATTCATTAAATAAATACCAGCGGACGGGCTGGAAAATAGGGTAGCGCCCAGTGGATTTTTTCCCCTCTCCCTGCATCTCAGGCAACGTTATCCGCCCTGCGCTCTGGAGCAGCTATCCGGGTGCCGGGAAGGAAACAAGACTTGGGACACCACGTCCAGGGGGATACATCCCGCATTCCGCATCCCACATCCTCCATCCCGCATCCCGCATCCTCCATCCCGCAACCTGCTCTGCCATTTCTGGCAGATTCCCGGGATCTCCTGCAATTCCGGCTTGTTTACGGCGCCAGGAAGCGGCCGCGTGTGGATGTGCTGCCCGCCTTATTTACTCCTAACGATTTTACAGTGTTTTAACACGAGTCCCTGGGAAATTTTAGCTGTCCCGAGGAGAATAGCTGCTTGCAACCGTTTGCTAATTACAAGTATGAGTGTCAATTAATTCATTTAGCTAATTAGCCACTCCGTGAGCATCACGGAGCCGTTGGAGGTGGGCGTATGGCGCCGGATGGGAAGCGAGGAGGTGCTGGGGCTGGGAATGGGGCTACCCGGGTGCCGCAGCCATGGGAATATCATCCACGAGCCGTAATTATGGCACGGTGCCCCATGGCTTTTCTTCTTGGAAATAACGGGAATGATTCAGCCCCGTCTCGGTGTGACAAATTAACCGCTGTGTGTTCAATGGGTTGTGTGAAGAGGACAAGGAAAGTGACTCCCCTTCCCACCGCGCTCCCAGGCGGTAAAAAACGCGGGTTTTTGTACTAAACTGCCATGCACCGGCGCTCCGAGGGGCTAAAACATTCCCTTAACGCGGGACAGGGATGTTCTTCCCGAGGGAGCCTCTCCTGCGGTGCTCCGGTGAATCGTGCGGCCGCAGCGCTCCCCTCCTTCCCGCATGGCGTCGGGTGGGGATGCCCGGGATCATCCCTAGGGAAGCTGCTGCAGTAGCCGGGCGCTCTCAGAGCCCGAGCGCGGCCGCATTTCCCCCAATCCCGGCGGATTCCGTGGCCGCCAGCTCCCGGCAAAGTGCCTTGATCCCCAGCGCATGGCTTAGATTGCCGGGATGCACTTGGAAAAGCCTGCGAATGACATCCAAACGGAGCGACGCCTCCCGCAGAGAGCAAACTGCGGGGCTAACGTGGGGAAATCTGCTTTTTTTTCCTCAATCTCTGGTGATTTTTCTTTCATTTCTTCCCCCACTCTCCGGCTCGGATGTTCGCCGAGGGCTACCTTAAGAACGGCTGGGGATGACTGTATTTAAGGAAGTAGGGGGTGTGCGCTGGCGGCGCTCCCGGGACACAGGCCGGAGCGGGCCCGGATGCGGGCGCAGGTGCCGGGCGCCGAGGTGAGCAGGGACGGGAATGGGAACCCCCTTGCACGTCCTTTTCCCGCAAAACTGCGTGTGTATTCACTTGCAATGGACGGCTCGGCCATCCCAGAATTCCCAAGGGAGAGGTCTGGGCCCTCCCGGCGGGAAAGCTCTGGTGCTGGCCGGACTATCCGTCCCCGCACCGGGCCCTTGGCCTGGGACTTTGGCCCCGGCGCGCAGCGGCGCTGGGCTCGGCGAGCGCCGCTCCCGGAGTCCGCACGGCCCGCGGCGTCTCCCAAAGTAGGTCAGGATCCCTCGTTTCCATGGATATCGCCCACGGATCCCCGTGGGAGCGGCGCTGCGCGGGGTCTCCCTGCACCCTGGGCTGCATGTGGACTCGGACGGCCAGGAAATTATTCCTCTGGGCAGCTTTATTATTCTTATTCTTATTATTAATTATTAATTATTAATTATTAATTATTAATTATTAATTATTATTAATTATTATTATTAATCATCATTAATAATAATAATATTTCCCCCCCGCAAACTTTATTGTTTCGGTGGAACTGGGTCACCGGCGGGGGCCGGAGCGAGCGCCGCGTCTCCCAGGCGACGCATCCCGTTGCCATGGCGACCCGCGCTTTAAAAATCCCACAGGCGAGTGAGGCCGAAGGCCCCAAGAGGAGGGACCCGGCCCCGCTTCCCAAGGCGCCCGCGGGCTCCGCCACGGATCCGCAGCTCCGTCCCGGCTCTCCGGAGATGCTCCGGCTGGCCCGCGGTGCTCGGCGCGCTCCAGGGCCTTGGGCTGCTCTTCCAGGCCCTGTTTGCAAGGAAAAAGTGTCCTGGACAGGGTGACAAGGTGACATCTGGAAAATCTTTGCCCTGCTATCAAGGGCCGAGGCGGAGTGGAGTTTGCTCCGGCGCTGCCAGCATAGCTGGGAGTCTTTCCGTCACGGCGCAGGACGTGTCCCGCCGGGAATGCCGGCCGTGCGCCCGGCGCCTGTCCGTGGTCCAGCTCCCGCTGCGCTCCCACGCTCCAGCCTCAGGGGAGCCGCTGCTCCCGGGATGCTTCAGTTCCAGGGCTGGGCTCGGGCACCGGGATCCCTCCATCCACTTCCCCAGGTGGATTTTCCCTGTGTCGAGCGGCTCCGGTCTCAGCTACACAGTCCTGATCTCCGGCGCTGCTGCATAGGAAGCCCCAACACAGAAGTACATCTGGTAGCCCCAATTTTAACTGGGACTTCTATACATTTTTAGCAGTTTTTTTTCCAGCTTTAGCAGCTTTCTCCTGCTTTTATTCCTCCCGGGAAGGGCCTTGGCGGGGCAGGAGCGGAAGGCGGTGCTGCTTTGCACACTGGAGCCGTGAGTCATGCCAGGATGCCGGGCAACGGGAGCGGCTGCTCGTCCCGGCCCCAGGAGCCATCGGAAAACGCTCCGTGTCCCAGCAGCTCCAGCCTGGCTCCCGGCAGCCCTCCGCCCTTGCCACACTCCGTGCACCGCTCTTTATCCCACCCCTTTCCAAGGACACCCTTCTTGGCACCCACAACCGGCCTTTGTTTTTCCATGGAGCCCGTGGCTCTGGAAAAGCTCGTGATGCAGCAGGGAGACATTCCCAGCGCTCCTGCTTTCAGAGAGGCGGCTGCAGAGCAGGGCCAGCCTCCGTCTGCACCCGCTATTCCCATTTTAATCCCGGCGCCTCTTCCCGTTGCCAGTTGTCTCCTAGCCATGGTGAAGGGGAATGCCGAGGTCCCTGAGGAGCTCTCCGGGTGCAACGGCCTCCAGGTACCCGCCGTGCCGCCTCAGTAGACCCTAGGCTCCGACGGCTCCCGCGGCTGCTAACGTGCCGCTCCGGCCACGATTCCCGGGTAATTTTGTCTCCGCTCAGGCTTGGCATGTGGCCGTCTCCTTGGTTTGCTCCCGAAAGTCTGTGGATGGCAAACGCCGAGTTTTGGGCTCTGGGCTCATCGCAGGCGCCGCTCACCCGGTGTTTGCACCGTTCCTGCAACGTCTCCCATCCGGAGCAATGGGAAGGGAGGGCTCCTGGTGGCTCTGCTTTGGGAAGCACTGTTTGAGGGGCTGCGGTGCTGCTGGAGGCTTCATTTTGAGGATAAATCCTGCTTAGTAATGGCTGGGCAAAGCAAAGGGAAGAGGCGCTGCCGCCGACGGGGTCTCACAACCAGTGCAGGGCGATGGCAGAGCAGGACGCGCAAGGGAGGCACTGGTGGCAGCTCCCACTCTCCTCCAGCTGCCGGGAATGCCGCAGGCTGGGAATAGACCTGGAGTGGGCACTGCCACTGCAGTGAGGAGGCTCTTGGGCATGAGGGAGCGAGAGCTGCATTCCCATGGGCCAGCTCAGCTCCACCACTCGTGTCCCTTGGTGTCCCATTGTGTCCTGTTGTGTCCCACCATGTTCTGTGGTGTCCCATCATGTCCCATCACATCCCGTGGTGTCCCATCACGTCCTATCATGTCCCATCATGTCCCTGGTGTCCCATCATGTTCCACAGTGTCCTGTGGTGTCCCATCATATCCCATCACATCCCGTGGTGACCCATCATGTCCCACGGTGTCCCATGGTGTTTCACCACGTCCCATCATGTCCCACCGTGTCCTGTGGGGTCGCATCATGTCCCATTGTGTCCCATCGTGTTCCATGGTGTCCCATCATGTTCCATCATGTCCCACTGTGTTCCACGGTGTCCCACCATGTTCCACAGTGTCCCACCACGTCCCACGGTGTCCCACCACGTCCCACGGTGTCCCACCACGTCCCATCATGTTCCACGTTGTCCCGTGGTGTGTCCCGGGGTGTCCCCTGGTGTAACCCCTCACATCCCCCGGTGTCCGCAGGGCTCCATCCCGGCTCCGCAGCGGCATGGCGAGCGCGGCGCCGCGGCGCCCGGGCACCGAGGTGCAGATGAGCCAGCTGGTGCTGCCCTGCCACAGCAACCACCGCGGCGAGCTGGGCGCCGGCCAGCTGCTCAAGTGGATGGACACGGCCGCCTGCCTCTCGGGTGAGCGGGCGCGCGGGCCGGCGGGCGCGCGGGGCCCCGGGCGGGCGGCCGCGCTCTGCAGCGCCGCCCTGCGCTCTCGCCCCGCAGCCGAGCGCCACGCGGGCTGCCCCTGCGTCACCGCCTCCATGGACGACATCTACTTCGAGCACACCATCAGGTAGGGGCGGCCCGCCTCGGGAGCGGGGTGCGGCATGTTCCCCGGAATACGGGAGCCCTCCTGCTGGGAGAGCTCCCTCCGTGGAGGCTCGTGGGGCCTCTGGGTGCCTGGCTTGGTGCAGTGCACCCAGCGGCGGGGCGAAGGCCCGGCCTCCTTGGCCTCCTTGGCCTCGGCGCGGGGGAGGCCCCGAGCTCGGGGAGGCCAGCGCGGTCCGGGCTGCGGTGCTGGCGGGTGCAGCCCCGGGCACCGCGCCGAGAGGGCAGCCAGGGACGAGCGGCCGCCGCGGTGCTGTCCCCCGCGCAGCTCTGGCGCAGGAACCAGCTGGCTCCCCCTTCAGCGGCTGTCCCCATTGCCCTGGGGAAATGCCCGGCCCCATCCTTGCCAGAGGGCGCAGGCGGAGGTGCAGGAACCAGCTGCCTCTCCCACTCCTCCCGGCACATTTCCCGCGCTCCAGCCCTGCGTGGCTTTTGCTTTGCTGGGGAGGCCGGACACCAGCCGAGGTGCAGTTTTGGGCAGAAACCCGCCAGGTTTGGCCCTGAAAAGATGCCGGGTGTGAACATGGGCAGCCTCGCGCTGCAGAGCCCGGCCCGCTCCACGCTCACCTCTGCTCCCCACCGCGCTCCCGACACGGAGCAGCTGCCATCCCGCCCGCTTCTCAATCCCAGAGCGGCCCTCGGGGGTAAATCCTGCTGCTCTCCCGCTGTGGTGGCCGTCCCGCGGGGACTCTCCTGCCCCGTCGCTGACGGCTCCGCCGGTCTCTCGCTCTCTCCCCGCTCCAGCCCCGCTCCAAACGCGCTGCTGGGCGGCCGCGGGGCAGGAGCAGCGCCGGGTATGGATGCGTGGGCCCTAACCCCAGCAGGGTTAGGTGGCAGGCATCTGCTGCCAGCTTAAAGCTCGGCCTTTTACTCAGCCTTTTTAGCTTAAGGAACTAAAGCTCAGGCTTTCAGCTCCGCAGCACAGCTCTTCTTTAGAGGAGGGGTGTCCTTCACTTAATAACGCAGGTGGTAAGGACTCCTTCCTATCAGCGTGCCCCCAATGAGTTGCATCTGTTCATTTAATTGGTGCTAATTAGAGTGGAAATGGCTGCAGAGCTGAAGTTGCCTGTGTGTTCGCTCTGAAGCCTACAGAAGGTGGGAAAGGGAGTAAGCACGGCCTTGGAGGAGGAGCAGCTTGAGCGGTGATGCTGCAGGAGGCCCTGAGGAGGCTCCTCGTGGTGCCACCTGCAAAGGGGGCTGATTGTGACCGGTGTCTCTCGCCAGCGAAGGGGACGGGGCTGCGGCTCCAGCCTTGGGGAGACCTGTCCTGGTCCCGCCTGGAGCTGCTGCCCTGCGGGGCTCAGGCCCGAGGCTGGAGCCCAAAGGAGAAGCTCGCTGGTTGAACCTGCTTTGTAAACAGAGCCCTTGTCCTGCTCATCCCCCCTAACGCCTCCTTTCTGTTGCTTTTCCAGCGTGGGGCAAGTGGTCAACATCAAGGCCAAGGTGAACCGAGCCTTTAACTCCAGCATGGAGGTTCGTGCCCCGCGCCCGTTTCCCGCACTGCGTTTGCGTTCTTGCAGCTCCGCGTCCTGCTGCTCCCCGTGGCCGCGCAAGCGCCCGCTTGCTCCTCGGCCTTCCTCCTGCCCGGCCTGAGCCGGACACGGGGCTTGCTGTGCGCGCGGGTTTGTCATGGAGGCTCCGGGGAGGCTGGCGACGCGGGAGGCCCGGCCTCCTCGTGGCTCAGCCGCGCTGCCCCCGCGCAGGTGGGCATCCAGGTGAGCCACGAGGAGCTGTGCAGCGGGCGGCGGTGGAGCACGTGCAAGGCATTCGCCACCTTCGTGGCGCAGGGCCAGGGTGACGCCAAGGTGAGCGCGGCCGGGCTGCCTCCCAGCACCCCAAAAGCCCCCGAGCTCCCAAGGGCTGCGGAGGAGCAGGAGCAAGAGCTCCGTGTCCGTGGGGGCGATGGGGTCCCGGGGGCCTGGCCGGGGCCGCGTTGCCACCCGCCTGCTGCCTGCAGGTGAAGCTGAAGCCGCTGAGCCCGCAGACGGAGGAGGAGAAGATCGAGCACAGCATCGCCGCCGAGCGCCGCCGCATGCGCCTGGCCCACAAGGACACGCTCAAGGACCTGCTCGCCCGCTGCCCCCGCGACACCGGTACCGCGGCGCGGGCGCCGGGACGGGCTCCGGAGAGGCGGCGGCGGCGCTGAGCGCGGGTGTCTCCCGCCGCAGAGCCGGAGACGCGGGAGGGCAGCGCGGTGGTGCCGGCGGCCGAGACGCGCGTGGAGAGCGTGGAGCTGGTGCTGCCGCCGCACGCCAACCACCAGGGCAACGCCTTCGGCGGGCAGATCATGGCCTGGATGGAGAACGTGGCCACCATCGCCGCCAGGTAGCCCGCGGGGACACGTCCGCGGGGCGCCGCTGACGGCGAGGCGGCCGGGCTGACGCGCCGCGCGCCCCGCAGCCGGCTCTGCCGCGCGCACCCCACGCTCAGCGCCATCGAGATGTTCCACTTCCGCGGGCCCTCCCACGTGGGCGACCGCGTCCTGCTCAAGGCCATCGTCAACAACGCCTTCAAGAACAGGTGCGTGTTGGGGGGAAATGAAGATATCCGGGGAAAAACCCCGCGGCTCCGCAGGGAGTCCCGCGTGTCCCGCTTGCGCCCCGCAGCATGGAGGTGGGCGTCTGCGCCGAGGCCTACGGGCAGGAGCCGGCGCCGAGCCGGCGCCACATCAACAGCGCCTTCATGACCTTCGTGGTGCTGGACGAGCAGGGCCGGCCGCGCGCGCTGCCCCGGCTGCAGCCCGAGCCGCAGGTGAGCAGCGCGGCTCCTTCTTGGCCCCAAAGGCCCCAGTTTTATCATCTTTCATTCACTGCAAGGCAAACACCTCGAGGTTATAATGGTGACCTCCTTGCGCCATAGTCAGGGAGCTGCACTGATTGCTTTGCTAATAAAATAAACCACTTGTCCACATTGGGGGAATAGCCACGCAGGGCTCAGCTGCGTATCGCTTGCAAGTTGGAGCTTGCTCTTCCTCTAATTTAGGGGAAATCTTTCATTTTCCCCCAATGAGTTAAGTTGTGGATGGGCTGGAGGATGTGACTGATGTTTGGAGCCCATCACAGTGTGGGGGCAAAAACAAGCCAAAAAAAAAACAACCAAGGATTTTCCCTCTTTGCTTGTTTCCCATTAACCTGAAGTGCTTTTTCCCTTGGCCAGGATGGAGAGAGGAGGTACAGAGAGGCCAGCGCTAGGCAGAAGATTCGGCTGGACAGGTGAGCGGCAGCAGAGGGGACAGACAGAGGCTGATGTCCCTGGAGCCGAGTGGCTCCGGGGTCCCATGGGTCCCACGTGCGCCCTGCCATATGGAACGATTCCCTTTCCATAGGAAATACATCGTGTCCTGCAGGCAGTCCGAGGTGCCGCTCTCCGTGCCCTGGGACCAAAGCAACAAGGTAAAGCAACAAGCAACATCCCGGCTGCCCGTCCCGGCGCTGCGGGTCCCCTCGGAGGCGTCCCCTGCGCCACCCACGGCTCCTCGTGTCCCCACTGCAGGTTTATCTCAGCTACAACAACGTCTCTGCGCTGAAGACTCTGGTCGCCAAAGCCAACTGGGTCCTTGCCAGAGAGCAGGAGAAGGTAGTTGGGGTGCCGGGGCCACGAGGGTGCCCCCGCGCCCCGCTCACCGCCTGTCCCCGCAGGTGCGGATGTACACGCTGGAGGAGGACCAGTTCCTCTCCTTCCGCATGGAGATCACGGTCCGCATCACGGCAGCCCAGGCCTTCTCGCTGCTGTCCGACCCGCGGCGGCGGCACGAGTGGGACGGCCACTACGCGTGAGTGCTGGCGGGAGCCCCCGTCCTCCCCTCGGCCGCTGCTTCCCTGCCCAGGACATCTCAGGCGGTGCTGCCGCTGCCACGCTTGGCACCCCTGGCTCTAGCTTGGTGCTTATTGCCCCCAAAGACCAGCACGGGGAGAGGCACCTTCTGGCAGGGCTGGAGCAGAGCGTGTCCCTCCTGGGTACGAGCTTGGAGCCGTCTCCGAGTTCACCTTGGAGCCAACATCTCCTGCCCCAGAATGAGCCAGGTGCCAAAGGTGAAGCAGTAAATAAGAGCAGCCTCCTCCTCTGAGGAAAACTGCTCCTGAGCCCCCTGTGGGGCTGCTGAACCTTGTCCCCACGGGGAGGGGGGACCCCAAACCACCGCAGTGAGTGAGCAGAGCACGCGCAGGAGGGGCTGGCCGGGCCGCTGCGGGTGACTTTGCCCCGCTCACGGCCGCCCTGCGCGCGCCAGGACCGCCGAGCTGGTGCAGCAGGTGGACGAGGACGACGCCATCTACCACGTGGTGAGCCGGACGCCGAGCCCGGAGAACAAGCCGCAAGACTTCGTCATCCTGGCGTCGCGGCGCAAGCCCTGCGACAAGGGGTGAGCTGGGCAGCCTGGCGTGCCCTGGCTCCCCTCGGGCGAGCTGCATCCCGCTCACCTCACGAGGCTCCCCTCGTCCTCCTCTGCACCGCCTCCAGGGACCCCTACGTGGTGGCCTTCCGCTCGGTGACGCTGCCCACCCACCCTCCCACCAACACCTTCACGCGCAGCGAGACGCTGTGCTCGGGCTTCTGCATCTGGCCGGAGACGGAGGAGACCAGCAAGGTGAGACCTTGCAGTGGGGCTGTCCTCAGTGTGCGCTGTCCTCCTCCTGCTGGGATGTGCAAGGTGTCCTCCTGGTGCTGGGATGTTCTCCCACGTCCAAGGTGTCCTCCTGGGCTGGTGCACAGCTCTGGTCCCAAGCTGTGACCAGAATGTGAACCGAGTCCAGCCTGTTCCCATCTGTGGAGGAGTTCATGGTCCCCAGATGAGGGCACAGGGGTGACTCCTGGCCTGGCTCCTGGCTCCTGGCCTCCTGGCCTGGCTGCCCCTCTGCACCCCAGCAGAGGCAGCCAGGAGGCCAAACCCGATGCTCACACTCAGTAGAAGAGGTTCCAACCTCCACACGTGTCCTTCACACACATGCCCTGGGGGTTGCAGGTGGCCTACTACAACCAGGCCACTCCGGCCTACCTCAACTACGTGACGACCAACATCGCGGGCCTCTCCTCCAACTTCTACGCCACCTTTGTGGCCTGCGAGAAGTTCCTGCTGAAGAACAAGGACGAGGACGAGCTCATCCTGCGCCTCCGGGATCTCTAGCGGTCGCTTTAGATGAGCAGCTCGTTAGTGGCATTACTAGAGAGGAGGCTGAAGAGGGTGATGGGGTAGAAGATGCAGGGGTGAGAGGCAGGGGGCAACAGTGGCTGCCCCGTGGCCACTGCTGGTCCTGGTGTGGTGACCTGCGGTGTCACAGCCCGGCACAACCCCGCGCCCCGGAGCCTCCCAAACGCCCTGCCCTTGCCTTCCTTTTCTGATTTTCTAAGCTGATGCATAGGAATCGACCTTTCCAGCTCCGTTAATGCTACTTGAATCTTTGTACGATCAAACTGTAACAGATTTTTTTTTTTTTAAACAATTTCTTACAATTTCATTAATGTGAATGGAGCCGGGGCTGTGATGTGGGAGTGGAGACCCGCTCCCTGCCCTGGCCGTGCCCAGCCCCAGCACCAGCCCTGTCTTGACGGGTCCGAGCGCGAGGGAGGTTACGGCGGCCCTGTGCAAGATGGATTTTCCCGCTGTAAGGCTCCTGCTGCAGAGATGTTTTTAGGGTTTTTTTCCTCATTTCTCAGCAAATCAGGAGTCAATGGAGCTGTAGGACAGGGTGGGGGAGTGACTGACGTCTGCATCTGCCTAGGGCAGCAGGTAGGAATGACAATAAAACTGCATTAAAAGCAGAAAAACTCATACATACGTGGCCTGTGTGTCTGCTTCTCCTATGCATCCCTGGGGCTCAGGAGGTGCTGGGGAGCACGGGAGCCCATTCTGCAAAGTTGCTCCCCCCCATCTCCACCTTTCCTGCCTCGGGGCTGCAGCTCTGGGCCCGTGTGGCCGGTAGGTTCATTGGTGCCGTGATCCTCTTCTGCTCCCTGTGGGCTCCGCTCCTTCCTCAACTGCCCCAGTTGGACCTGGCCTTGAGGAAAGTACCAGGGCACTCCAGCAATTCCTGCTGTTTTGCTTCTGCTTTGCTCATCACGGGAACGTTGTGTTGTAACAGGCCATGGTTTCAATCATTGTTGAGCTTTGAGTCTCTGCAGTTCGGATGTACTCGCTGCTGGCTCTGTGAAAACAACCGTAATTTCTGATAGACTTTGTAAAGTTGTTGCATGGATCCTTCATTAATTAAAAAGGAGAATGCTCAACTAGTTAGGCCTTGGTCTAATAGCAAGAGCTAATGCATAGTCAGGATACTGGCTTATGCCAAGCAGCTGTTGTGGAACTGGTTCAAAGCAGGACTGAATGGAGACAGATTTAAGAAATTGTATTACACTTTTAAAAGTTTTTACTATATTTGCTTTCCTTAGTGCTGTTTGAATGCAGCTCTGGACTGAGAAAAAGCCTCTGGCCTTAAACGCTCCTGTTAAGATCACAAATAGCTGTTTAATGGCTGGAGCACTCGATGCACCTCAAAGTGCAGCATATTTCTGCAACCACTTTAAAGGGCAGCTCAGGGAGAGAGAAAGGACAGATCTAGAGTTGCTTCTAATTAAAAACTGAAAGCCACCCCAGAAGCACAGACAACCCTGTATGCTGGCTTTACCGTTTAGTATGACGGATAAGGCTCTCAGGCTTGGGTTTCACATAACTATATGTCAGTCTCTGAACTACCACGCGATATTTCGCTCAGTGAGAAAAATGACTGTCTCATCCGTTCGGCAGAAGTCAGTCCACTCAAAATAGACATGTTTATTTCCAAATTATACAACACAACGAGTTAGCAAGAGGGTCAGTAAGGCCCACTGCTGCGAGCAGAGCCCAAGCAGCAGGGCTGGGTGCAGAGCTGCTTGCTGGTGCTTCAGGTTTCTCTCAAAACTACAAGCGAGCCACGAAGGATGTTCTTCTGTAAGCCACGGGGTTGCTCTGCAGTGAATAATCAATCCCCTCTTGTGATTCCCTCATTCCGTTACCATCCTGCCTTGCTGGAAGTTTCCCTGTGCACTCCAGTGCCCCAGCCCAGCAGGTGCAGGGTGTTCTTGCACGAGCAGAACATCGCAGTCCAAGCGGGACACAAAGAGCAGTCTCCAGCACGTGATTCCTCGTTTCACTCTTGCTCATTACAGCCGATGCACCTTCTTGCTGGAGAAATACTTCTTGGAGAAAGGAGAACGCTTTACAAATGCCAAAACTGTGGGAGTCCCAGCCTTTACAAAATACCTGCAAAGGTTAAAAGGAGTCATTTGGCTTCCCTGTGTCTGGGAAGTGGCATGTGAGGCGAGTAACTTTCCAGCACTTCAATAAAGACTGACCTCCCCAGGGCTGAGAAGCAGCCTTTTCGCCGATTAGCAGGGCCTTCCACAGCCAAAGCTACACCTATCCAAGGTGTGTGGGGGGGTTACGCATCAGCTCTTCTCCCAACATCTACTTCTAATTAGAACAGAGCTTAAAGTCAGATTCTTTTTGTGCTGCCCTTCAAGTCTGAAATCGTAGGGATCACAGACACTGCTGAGTTTTGAAGAGCGAGTCTACAGCATTTGAATTCCCAAAGCCTGGAACAAAGCCAGGTGGTCCCATCACCTTATACCTTCCCAACTAAGAGATGCCAAGAGCTAAGCCTGGGAAGGCAGAGAACAAACTGCACTTAGAGCCTAGAGCTGATTCACTGAGCCTTGGTGCTCACTGGAATCAAACAGGGGAAACGGTGACCCAAAGCAGCCTTACCTACGGTGCTGCAACATTTGCAGCAACGTGTGTTCTGGGTTCACCTCATGCATTTCTGCTCTTTCTTCATCTTCAAAATAGAGCTGAAAAAAATGGCAGGGTTATTAAATACTTAAGATACATGAAGACAAGCACCTAAGCTGCAGAAAGCCCAGTTGCAGCACACCACATATCCATTAGGTGCCTATCAAACTTTGGCATCATGCAATGACTGTTGCAGCTGCAACTTCAGCAATGTAGAAACTTTGTTGGTGTAAATTCCAAGTCTTCCCTGTATAAATCAGTAACTGCTCACCTTTTTAGGGCAGTGGCAGCAGGAATGCAAAATATATCATTTCTGTCCTGATCTGAGAAGCAACGCATAGCTAAAGGCTGCTTTTTAACTGGTGAAACCCTGCAATAGTATGAGCTAATCTGGCAGGGCTTAAAGATATTGAACAAAAAGGAGCAGTTTTCACAGATTCAGACCCAACAACCCTGTCTCAGATTGTGCATATGCACACACGCTGTGTGTATGTATGCTTAATCTTACCCCAGAAATCACAACTGAAGTTGAAAGTCGAATTGCTCACCTCAAGATTGCTGGGAAGATACTTCCTCTCCAAATCCCACGGTGGTAACTCAGCAAACATCACCATTAAATGATCAATAAATCTAAAAGCCAAAACACATATGTTAACTTAGACAAGGTATTCTGAAACCTCACAAAAAAGCAGAATCCACTCAGTTGCATTTGAGTAGTTCAGCTTCAGGAATCAATAGTGGTATCTGAATGATGGCAAATAATGCATTAGCAAAGTGGAAAACACACTCGAAAGTAAATTTTATCAATAAGGGTCATAGCTGCTTTCCTTCAAACTCATTGCTTCCCTAAGGAGACCAAGGCTACACTTTAACTCATGCCATTGGTTACACACTACAGCAATGCAACCACATATTATGTTTAACTTTTTACTGTCACGCTGGAAAGGATGTCCAACACTCCATGCTGTGTCTGAAGTTGTCCTCCCTCCCCCATGGTCCTCCCAGCACCACGCTTCACTGCGTGAGTCCACAATGGGCTTGTCTGCCAGCAGCAGCATCACTTTGCTACTTCAGCACTGCCAGCGACCAAGCTGTTCCAAGACTCCATTTCTATTTTCTTTAGTCACAAAAACTTGTGTTTAATTCCAGAGAACTACAGCTTTATTAACCTGTTTGCATTGTAATTTTCACTGCATTCACCTCGTGTTCTCATGAAAAGCTGCAATGAAGTCCGTTTGCTCGTGCTCCGGGTACAGGAAGAGGACAGGCCAGTTTAGGCTGCCATCAGCATCTAAGTGCACCTTGGCCCCCAGGGCATTGTCAGAGTGGAACCCATCCAAGGACATCTCAGCCAGAGCATCGGACACTTCCTCTTCCTCGTTTGAAGGCTCAAGAACCACCTTGATATTTCTTTCCTATAAGGGAAGGAGAAAGGAAAAAAAGGAGTTAGCAGTGGCAGGGAATATGATCAGGGAAACTAGCAGTCATAGCAGTCAACTGAAGGACAAGTTGTGTCACTCTTACAGAACCTGCTCTTAAACATGCCCACCAAAAGCCTCCCTGCAGTTTGGGGTAGCTAACTAGTCTTCCCAGTAAAATCCAGAACATCAACCAGATTCCCAGACAATGGATGAGGAGAGCTGGAAATCCAGAGGACCAGCATGTTGAGAGAAAAGCCCAAGAGAACAGCATGGAAAAGGATGCACTGGAATGCTGGGGCCAAAGCCATGCAGATGGGGAGGATTGTGGCTGCATATGGAAACAACCCGAAAAAGGCAGCAAAACCTCTGCTGGGCAGAGGAGGGGTAAAGCTTATTTGCTCACCTTTATTGCTGCAAGTAAACTTTCCTTTCGACTCTGTTCCTTCCTCTCCATCACCTTTGCTTTCCTCACATCCCGCTCCTCAATTCGCTGCAGTATAAGAAGGTTGCACCATAGTTACACACAGCAAGTAAACGCTTAGCGCTGCTCTACTCTGCAGGTGAGAAGCCAGGCCAGGCCCCCCAGGAGGATTTTGGCTCCTTCCTCTACATATCTAGACAACAAGCACTAAGCAGAACCACTGTTTGACCACTGGGAAAATTAAACAACACAGAAACTTAAAGGGAGCAGTGTCCACCAAGGGAGCCTGCTTGGCACAAACTGGGCAGAGCAGAGCAGCCCTGGCACAGGCACAACAGGCTCTCGAGGCTGCCGTAACATTTACCTTTAGCTTACTGGCTTTGGCTCGCACTTCCAGGAGCTTTTTCTCCTTCGGGTCTATCTGCAGGCCCTCCTCACACCACTCTACAGCTTCAGAGAAATTCTTTAGCTCCAAGTGACAGAGAGCTCCTGAAAGAATTAAGGTTTGACGTTTCTGGCAGCAGAATCAGTGCAGTACTTGGTGCAAAGCAGGAGCTGCAAAGGCAGCGCTCGGCCTAGTGCCTCACATGGCAAAGGCAGCAGCAGATGCTATTGCTCTGGATTGTGTTTCAATAGGAGCATTAGCCTGAGAAAACTACTAAAAGGCTGTAGCAGTTTTTGTACCATTTGCTGATGAGAAATTACTAGAGAAATACCATCATTGTCTGTTACAAGATCACAATATTGGGCAGATGCTGAAACGTGAATTCTTGAAAATAAATAAATAAAGGTAAAGTAAAACAATGGTTTCCATGGAATAAGAACTGATAAATGCTGGAGAGCAACAAGAGTTATTTTCTACAGAAGATCTATGTTCAGCAGAACTACAGTCAAAGATGTTTTGCGGATATGGAAACTGAAGAAGAAAAATAAAATATTTAAAAGTCCAAACCAACTTCTCAGGTTAAAAATGTATAGCGCTCTTTCTGTCAGAGACAGAAATAACAGAACGGGACAGAAGCAGAGATGCCACCTACAACTAGTGCTTTACATTTTTGAAACAAATGCACCTTTGAAACAATGTTCCCTCCTCCGAGCAATTTAGGGTTTACAAACACTGTTCTTTAACACACAGAAATACACATTGAAACAAAGCGAGACCTAACTGGCTATTCCAGGGCTTGGTAACAGGATGACAAGTTGCAACAATATATTCAAGAGTGTTCCAGAAGGATGTGCTTTAACTCTTGCTGCTTTAACTCCTACCTCTCACGATCGCTTTGAGGTGGGAGGGCTTCAGCCTTCTCGCCTGGATGGCATCGTTGAGAGCAGAACGGTAGTTACCTGCAAACAAAGCAAAACTGCTCTGCACCCTTCACTCGTATTTCCGACCTAGGCAGGCTTTAGCACAAAACAGACTTCACTGCTTCTGCAAGCACTGTGAGGCAAGCAGAGAACAGGTTAACAGCGAAACACATAAAGGACAGGAATCAATGAGATGGGGAAGACAGAAATACCGTGAGTGGGGGCAGAGCATCACCAACCCACAGCACCACGAGGGGCCAGGGAGGGGATCCCTGCTGCCCTGCAGCAACCTCAAGGCTGCGGGGCAGGGAGCGAGTGGCAAAACACTTTGCCCCAGCAGAGACCGGAGCCCCACGGAGCCCGTGGGAGGTGTTGCCTCCCCCCCGAGCCGTCTCGGTATCGTAGAGCACCGGCAAGGAAGCAGAGGTTACCGAGCCGGGCCTGGGCGGCCGCGCGGTTCGTGAGCAGCACGGCGCCCAGCTCGGGGTCCTGGCACTTCTTCTTCAGCCCTTCCGTGTAGGAGAGCACGGCCTTGCCGTAGTCCTTCTCCTTGAAGTACTCGTTGCCCTCGTTCTTGTACAGACGGGCGAGCTCTGCGGGGCGGGCGGCGCTGAGCGGGGGGCTCGGATCCATGGCGTACTCGCTGTAACCCCCCAGAATAACCCCATTCCGGGCCCCACGAGGGCACTAACAACCCTTCCCCCAGACCAAGTGTCTCCAGAAACCCCCTGATCCGCCCCCACCAGCCCCAAACTGCCCCACACTGCCCCAAACTGCCCCCTCCAGCCCTCAGGGGACCCAGAGCCCCCCAAACCGCCCCCAGGGGCCCCGGGGCGCCCCGAGCCGCCGCCTCCAGCCCCACAGGGCCCCGCACGGCCCCTCCCCGGTTCCGCGGCCGCGCTGCAGCGGCTCCCGGGCCCCCGCGCAGCCCCGGGCGCCCCCGCGGCACCTTCGGGGCTGCGCTCCTCGTCGAAGAGCAGCGACTGGAGGCAGGCGAGCTCGGGCTGCCGCGCCGCGTCGATCTCCGCCGGGCAGCGCGTCATGAACATGGGGATGGTCTCCAGCTCCTGCCGCCGCCGACACACGGGTCGGGTTGAACCGGAGCGGAGCGGCCCGGCCCGGCCCCGCCCCGCCGCCGCGCCCGGCCTCACCTGCTCCCAGGTGCTTTCGTTGAGGCCGCCCCGGTACCGCGGCGCCGCGCCGCCCGCCCCGACCTCCGCCATGCTGCCGCTTCCGGCGCCGTCGCCACGCCGCTTCCGGAACCGCTTCCGCCCCTCCCGCCCGATCACCCTCCTCGCCACCCTTAGACCCCGCCCACCCAGCCGGGCCACGCCCCCACCTCCTTTACACCCCGCCCACCCAGCCGAGCCACGCCCCCTGGCGTCTCGAGACCCCGCCCCTCCAGATTACCCCGCCTACTCGCCGAGCCGAGGCCCCGCCCCTCCACTGGCCCCGCCCCCGGCCAGGCCCCGCCCCCAGGCGCCGTGCCGGTGCAGCGCCCGTGTCTTTATTGGGGTCCCGCGGGCGGGGGCAGCAGCGCGGCCGGGGGCGCAGGGTGGGTGTCAGGCAGGCGCCGCGGGGCCTGCGAGGGGCTGGCGGCCGCAAGCGTGTCCGAGCGGCGCCGCACGCGGGGGTCCCGAAGGGTCTGGAAGCAGAGAGCCCATCCCCACTGCCAGCCTCAGCCCCGGCAGCAAGGGGCCCAGAGCCCTCCCGGCCCCGGGGCGCCGCGCGGCTGACGGAGACGCCCCGGCTTCTGCAGCCAGCGCTGGAGCTGGCGCCAGCGCTTGGGGCCAGGAAAACCCCCACGCTGTGCAGGATGCCGGAGCCTCCGGCTTACCCTTGCTCACGGTGGGCATCTCGGTGGCGCTGGCGGGATCCATGTGCGCGACCAGGAACCCTGGGCACGGTGCAGTTAGGGAGCAGGGAATGCCCATGCACAAACACTCCCTTTCCCAGAGGTTCTACGTCCTGGGGCTGCCCACTAAAGACCTCAGAGGTTTCCCAGGGCCATTAGGCTGCAGCTCCGAGCCCAGCGCAGCCCCTCTCTAGGGGACAGTGTGCTCCTGTGGAGGAGACCCTGCGTAACCTGTCACGAGGACTCCGAGAGGAGCCCACAGCATGGGAAAGATGAATTAATTAATAAATAAATGCTAAACTTGGGGATTCCCTCACGAGGCTACGGCTCCTTTGGGGCTGGAGGACACCAGGCTTCCCGCCTTTACCCACGAAGAGCTCTGCCGCCCTCCGCAGCGCCGGCTGGGAGCTCTCCAGGTAGCGCTGGCTCTGGGACAGGAACCTCGGCACATGCTCTCCGTGTTTCTTCACCTCGGAGGGAAAGAACCGCAGGAGAGGGAAGCCGCGGGCGCGAGCCGAACCCTGGCGGCCCCGTGCCCAAAAGCCCTGCCCGCGGCTCGCAGCGAGCGCCGTGCTCTGCCCTTGTCCCTGCGCAGGTCGCGGCGAGGCACGCGCGTCGCTCACCAGGTCCTCGCAGATGTCCCGAGCGTGCTCCTGGCGGCGGTGCCAGGCCTGCTCGCGGCCGGCCTCCCTGGGCAGCCTCCAGCGCAGCAGCCGCCCGCACTCCCTGAGGGCCCTCACGCACTTCTGCGGGACGCGGCGGCATCCGCATCGGGCCGCCCCGTCCCGCTAAAACCCCGCCGCGCCTCTCGCAAGGCGCAGCCCAGGCCCGGCCCGGGGACTTGCCCTGGCCACGTCGGTGTTGGCCTCCTGCGAGCGCAGCAGCAGCGGCACGACGCTGTCCAGCAGCTCCCGGCGCTCGGGGAGCCGCGGCCAGCGGCTCAGGCTGCGCAGCGCCGCGCCGAACAGCGACACGGCGGCCAGGCGCACGCTGGGCCGCTCCTGCCGGGATGCGCCGGCGCCGCCGTTCGGAGAGGCGCTCCTCCCTCGGGAAGAGGGGCTTTGGGCGGGAGATTGGGGACCGCATAGCCCACCCCGTGGCTCCGTTGCGGGACCTCTGGAAACTACAACATCTTTAAACGTGTGTGCAGAAGTGGTACGAGCACAACGAGACCTCATTCCTTAGAGACCCTTCTACCATTCTGGGTATGGAGAAGCTGCACAATAAGCTGTTTTGAGCTGGATGCATCCGTGTGGTGGAGCCACCATAGGATGCTCAACCTGCACAGTTTCTCCTACCTGCATTCGTACGAGGCAGTGCTCATCTTTTTGCTTACGGCCACAGCATCCCGTACGTACAGTCAAAATGAGCTCTTCCAGAGGAGTAGCTAGGGTCCCCTGCACTTTTGGGGCAGCTCCCCATTGCCCTGTCCCCAGCACCACGCTACTCCCTTACGTCGTCAAAGAGGAGCCTGAGGGGTCTGGTGATGCAGCCGATGCAAGTCGCCGTGTCCAGGCTTCGCAGGATATTCCCAACGTCGGCAAGCGCTTCCACCACCAGCTTCCCGTCCACTCCCTGCAAGCTCCTCATCATGGCTGGCACCAGGCCCTGGATGTCCTGCACAGGACGAAGGTCACACGCTCCCTGACGCCGCATCTACGCAGGACGTGGGACCAAATACAGCAAAAACAGGACAGGTTTGGAGGTAGCACTTCCAAACCCTGAAAAATCCCCTAGGAAAATAGTATTTCCTTTAAAAGGGTTATTCAAGTGAAACCCTAGCAGCTGCTTCCCATCCTGTCTCCTCCTGGAGCACTGCTCCTGGGACAGAGAGGATGCACATGGGAATGTTGCAGGCAAGCGGCAGTCGGGCCCTGGGGAAACGCTTCCCTCGTGCTTATTTCCATGCTGCAGGAAGGAGCGACAGCCTCTCGAATGCAAAAGCCAACAGCTGAAAGAAACGCAGCCTCGCATCTTCCCAGGAAAATAAGGCAGCCAAAAGCAGCTGAGGAAGAGATGTAGAAATAAAAGCATGTGCACGACAGAGAGGACCGGGCTGGTGGGACAAACACCATCAGCAGCAGAGCTGCAGGGTGATGAAACGGGCCCGGACAGCTCCAGAGCGTTAGGGAGCTCTCCGGCTTCATGCACTGGCTTTTCCCGGATAGCCGAAGGAGCAGGAGCCCACCTTTCCGCGCCACTTTTCCATGGTTATCAGTCCTTTGACACAGAGCACCCGCATGACGGGGTCGCCGTGCGGGAGCCCCTGCGCGAGGCGGGTCACCGAGTACCTCTGCGGGAGCCGCTTCGCCTCGGGCAGCTGCAGGAGCTTAAAGGAGGCAAAAGGAAACACAGCCCTGTGAGCACAAGGATATCCAGCTGGAAAACAGAGAATTCCTTGTCCACCTTGATTCCTTGGAAAGTGCTGCCAAGGCTCCGACAAGCGCGATGACAACTAGCTCCGTGTCCTACATGGCCAGGCACGGATCTGCTTCCACGGATCTGCTTCCACATCAGCTGTGCACATGGGGACTAACAGGACTGATGCAAAGAACTCCCAGATCCCGGTCTGGGCTGTGCTGCAGACTGGGAGCTCAGTTTCCACATGGGCATCGTGCTCCTCTCCGGCAATCCTGTTTCTTGTCCCAACTAGCACCAGCTATTCCCCTACAAGGGGAATGCTGCAGCAAGGCAAAGCGTCTCTGCTCTTTCCTCTGCACTCCTCGTTTCCCGGCATTTCTCCGATTTCACAGAACTCCCCCCAGCTCATTTAATCCAGGAAAGTGGATGCTGGGTTCAATGCCAGGGGATTTTCTGGGAAAGAAGCCCCAAAGCCAGTACCTTCCCGAACCACAACGGCTCGTGTTGAGCTAATGAGCCTCACCTCAACAAAGAAGGCCATCGCTGTGATTTTGAGCTGCTTGTCCCCTTGTTCAAGGAAGGGGACCAGATGATACAAGACCCTCCAAAGCTCGCAGCAGTTGCATTGGACCATGGTTCTGAGATGGCAGATAAATGTCTTTTTTATTCCAGATAAAAGTCACTGGAGTCTTTCAAGGGGAGGGGCGAATGAACGCAGCTGCAAGCAGTAACTTACCTCGCGAGCAAGCTCACGCCTCGGTGGTGGCTCTGGGGGGTGACGAGCATGTCCCAGCCGCCCTCCTTCTCCACCAAGGCGAGCTCACGGTGGCAGCCCATCTTCAGCAGCAGGGTCTTGACAGCCTCCACCGCACAGCTGTGAAGTGGGCAGAGAGGGGTTGCACCAGCCCTGCTCTCCTTGGGCTCAGTGGCACCTTGCTACGTGGCAGGGCTCGAGGGCAGTGTGTTGGCCACGCAGATGGGACAGGGCTATGGGCACCCTGCTGCCCCACAGGAGCTTTGGGGCAGGCAGCTCCTATGGGGTGCTCCTGCCATGGGTAGGGACGATTAGTGGCCTCTTAAACTCTGTGTCTGCCGCAAAGTGCTCAGTGACAAGTGGCACAGCTGTGGCTTGTGACCTCTAGATGCAGGGCTGGTCCCTGGGGGTCAGACAGCTCTCTCCCAAAGAGTTCACTGCCCACAGGAGGAGGGCAAAACCAGAGGGAAGCTCGTGGAGATGGCAGCAGTCGGCGCTGCTGGGCTGGATGTCAGCATATCATGGGGCGAGGAGAACCTCTCTGTGTCTGGCCCTTGGGATTGCTGCCCTTGGGATTGCTGCCCTTGGGATTTGCTCGCTGGAGGGGACGGGGAGCCACCCCGACAGGGCAGAGCCGAGGGTGCGAGTCGCAGGGAGGGCGCTTTCCGGGAGCTGTGGCCCGGGGCTGCCACAGGAAAGTCCCGCTCGGCCGAGGACAAGGAGGGCCCAGACCGAAGCCCGGAGGTGCCATGGGGCAGGGCTGGCGGGGTGCTCGGTGGTGCCCGTCCTCACCGTGCAGGCGCCGCGCGGCCCGCGGGCACGGCGAGCCCCGCGCCGTAGCGCGCCTGCACCAGCAGCGCCAGCAGCAGCCGCGGGAAGACGCGCGCGGTGACGGCGCTGGCGCCGCTGTGGACGGAGAGCACCTCGCGCACGGCGCCTGCTGCCTGCGGGGGGAAGCACCTGAAACCCCCTCCTGCTCAGCCCTCCTTGGAAAAGGGAGGGCTGGGCGGCATCTGCAAGGATGGGGAAGGACCTGCTGGTAGGTAGAGCACAAGGCAAGAGGAGGAAGGGGCGCACGGTTTGGGGGGAGGAGGGCACAGAGACGGGGAAGAGCTTTAAGGGGAGCAGAAATCTCCTGCTCTCTCCTGCAGAAATCCCGGGCCAGGTGCTCCGCTCCCCAGCCTCCCGCTCGCCTCTAGGTCCCTTACGGCTATGGGTGCTGTGGATGCTCCCTGCCCGTCGGCGCCCGGCCGCTCCTGCAGCCTCCGCAGCAGGATGTTCATGAGGCGCTGGGTGTCAGGGGCCACTCTGGCCTTGACGAGAGCCCTCCACATGCTGGCAGCATCCCTGCAGATCATCACACAGACAGGCACTCACAGTGCCCTGCAGCAGCCCCACAACCACCACAAGAAAGAGCTATATCCATAAAGCAGGTTAGTTCGTGGCACCAGCTCAGGCACCAGGTTGGAGCAAACTTGGTGCCCACACGTATGATGGGGGTCCTGTGCCACCAGGCCCTGGGCCATCTGTAGATGGAGTCTCCCTTGGCCCATCTGGGCTTGGACAAATGCTCCAGCCACCCCACAAAGTGGGGTAGAAAACACTGACCAGTTCACTCTGGTCCTACGGGGTATTGGCAAAATTTGAGATCCTTGATATCGGGAAGGCAGTGGAGAAGGTGCTGAAAGGGAGCGTTAAGGACTAGCAATGAGCCTGGAAACCGCTGTGGTGAGAGAAGCATTTGCTACGTGACCAGGCTAAGAGACTACAGAGAAGGCAGAAGCAGCAAGGTGCATGAGAGCAGAGGCCCCCTGTACTTGTCCAGAGGCAGCTGGAAGCTCAGGAGGGCCGAGGTGGCCTCCTCCATGAACGCGTGGGCCAGCAGGAACAGCGAGGCCAGGACAGCGTGCCGAGCCCGGCGGCGCTGGAGGCCCCCGAGGTGCTGGTAGAATCCCAACACAAGCGCGGGCACCTAGGAGAGAGCAGGGCCACACGGAGGTGGTGTCCCACACGGAGGCTCTGCAGTTATCTCCAGACTTCTTGCACGTTTTTATACAGTCCACATTGCAGGCAATATCAACACAACATGCCACGAAAGCATCCCAGTTCCGGTACTTCTAAACCTTTCCTCACAGCCAAGAGGGAACTACCTTTGCTTGTAGCCCATGTTTATATCTGCTCAGGATCAAAGTCAGGGCAGCTTTTGATGCTTCAATGCTGCTCTCACTGGCTTCCTTCAGGCTCCCGGTAACTGTCAGTATAAGATCTGTCAGCTGATCAGGGTTGAGAAGCTGTCCCAGTTGCTGACGGGAGAAGAAACGAAACAAGCAGTTCCCTGAGACCAATTCTCCAACTGTGGAACACCCCCAGCGGGGCCACGTTCAAAGTATCTCCTGCTGCAGGAGCTAACAGCTCCCATGGATGCAGGTAGGATCACAGATGTGTTGAGGGAAGAGAAATTCATGGGGAAAAATGAAAGAACCCCAGGTCCTGAGGAGGACCCTGAGCCACAGGTGCCTGGGGGACCACTCAAAGTGTTGGTCCCGCATTGTGCCCCAGGCACTGTGGTTTGGCCAAGCCCCCACATCTGCAGCAGTGCCCGAGGGAAGCTGTGGTCCAGGGGAGGCTGCAGGAAGCCGCTTCCTCCCAGCCGGGAGGCAGAGCTTACCTTGATTACCTCCAGGAATTTGGCGTGTGTCTCGGGGGACCCCAGCAAATCCAGGTCCTCCTCCTGCTCTTGCTCTGCTTTTGCCCGGACAACCTTGGTGCCAGGTGCTAGGAAGCAAAGACGAGTCACTCTGCGCTTCGTGACCCGTTTGCCCCCAGCCCCACGCCACGAGGGGGTGGGTAACGCCGCTTGCACGGCCAGCACAGGGAGCAGCCGAGCTCCTGTACCTGCCTGGCGCGTCAGGAGCGCGCGCAGGAGCTGCAGACCCCGCACGGCCTGCGCGCTGACGGCCGCCCCCGGCGCCCCCACGCACGCCAGCAGCCGCCCTGCCAGGAGCCCCGGCCGCGGGAACTCGGGCCGCGCCTGGCGGAACGGAGAGCAGGGCGGCAGCGAGGGCMGCGCTTCCCCGCGGACCGCGAGACGCCTTCCCGCCCCCGGGCACCGCTCACGTGGAACTGCGGGCTGCTGGCTGCGGACTGCAGCAAGCCCAGCGCGGCGCTCACAGCCCTTGCCCGCTCGTGCACCTTCTCCGATGCCATCCATGGGTCTACGTGCTGCCAGGGGAGCAGGGATGCCCGTGTCAGCACCCTGACACCGCCGGGAATGCCTTGCCCGCGGGGTCCCACCGCACCCCGCGCCAAGGGCCCATCTTCCTGCTGGCGCTCAGGCTCTCCAGGGCGGAGTCCCCTGACCAAGGCCAACGGCAGGGCCAACGTGGCGCAATGTGCCGTGCAGCTCCGGGAGCAGAGGCCTCCAGGGCCCCGCGTGCCGCCTGCGAGTCCCCGCGCGGCACCGCTTACGTCCAGGAGCCCCTGCAGCTCCGCGGGGTTGGCTTTCTCCAAGAGCAGCCCGCTCAGCAGCCGCCCCAGCACCTCCATCAGCTCCGCCTGCACACACTGAGGAGCAGAGGGAAAGGGGTGTTTTCCAGAGCCAAGGAAGGCTTGGGAGAGTGTGGCCAGCGCTGCTCCCTTGGATAACGAGGTGCACAAGTTCTCAAGCCTGGGAGGAAGGGGCTGCAATGCTGGGCACAGAGCTTTTCTCCTCAGCCCAGCAAGCATTTCTGCAAGGCTCAAGGGGAGCACAGGGCCCCTCTGCAGCCAGATGCTTCCCAAGGACGTTTGCTGCAGGTATGGGGTGTCCGACAGCCCCAACGGCAGCGTGGTTGGCCATGGCGCGGTACCAAGCTCCTGCGCTCGCTACGAGGACGGGACAGACGGAGGCCTCCGGAGAGTGTAGCTCAAACCCCTGCGCTGGGGAGGAAGGGGCAAACCTCCACGTGTGGGTGGGCAGTCACCTGCGCACCGGCTGCGTCGGCCTCCGCCAGGGTCTCGGCTGCGGGGAGGGCGAGGGTGCTGGCCAGGCAGGTGGTGACCACGGCCGCCTTCTCCTTCGTCTGCAAGAGCGGCTGCGTCTGGCTGCGAGGGAGGGGAGCTCAGGTCAAACAGCCTTCTGAGGACGAGCTGCTCAAGGTGCCTGGCCTGGCGGGGCACACGCACAGGGCTCAGCCCCATGCCCAAGGGGCTCAGGGTGGCCACAATCTCCTGCACGAACAGGCTCCAATAGAGCAGTGGCCAAGCCCAGAGCGGAGCCCTCAGACTGCAGTGAGGAAGGATCAGATGCATGCAGATCATCACGAGCCTGTCCACAGAGCTGGGGACACCAGGTAGGTCCAAGCAGTCTCTTCTACACGGGGCGGCTGTGCCCCCTTCCATGCTTTGAGAAAGGGGCCCAACAGCCGCGGCGGGCGGCATCGCTGCTGGGCGCGTTGGGTACCTGAGGCTGGCGATGAGCAGGAGGCCTCGGCAGCGCGCCGTGTTGGAGGAGACATCCCACGAGCCCGGGGACAGGCTGTTCAGGTGCTCCTGCAAGCCCAGGGACATTGACACTGGAGATGGCAGCTCCCTGCTCTGACACTCACCGTAGCTCCCTCTCCTTCACAGGTCAAGCGTGATGCATGAAACTGCGCTCCTCTGCCAGAGCACTGAGCCAGGCCCAGTGTTTCCAAGGATTTGGCGACAACCTTGCTTGCAAGCAGCGGATTGCTTTGCAACAGCTGCAGATGTGTCTGAGCTCTCAACGTGACCCTCTGCCCATCCTTCAAACCCCATCCCCCTGAGGGATCCCCCCCAGGCGTACCAGGACCTGGTGGATCAGCATGAGCTTGCGGCTGCAGTGATAGGCAGTGTCCAGGGCTGCGCTGCCAGCTCCGCTGTCCATTTCCTTTCCCAGCCCAGGAGCCACCTTATGCAGGGAGGAAAAGGCTCCACCAGAGCCTGGCTTCCCTCGCGACGCCGTGGAGAGCCACAGGTACTATCCAAGCAAGGCGTTAATGGGATTCCCCCTTCCCCACTACCTCCATCCACCCCCTAGATCCTGCCCACGCCGCTGCCTCTGCTCCCGCCGCGGTGTCCGAAGCGGATCTGAGGAGGGCAGGGGCCAGCTGTGCCTCACTGAGGGGCTCCCCAGCTGGGACGGTGTTCGGGCCCCAGCCGCCCTGCCCCGGTGCTCAGTTCCCGCATCTCTGCCCTGCCCGGGGCTCGGGCAAGGCGGGCTGCGTGTGCCGGGCTGGCTGCTGCTGCCCCTCCATGTCCCGGCCCTGCAGTGTCCCCAGTCAGGCGGCGCGCTCCGCTGCCCCTGGAACCCGCTCCATGCCCTGGGCGCGTGACGTCATGCCTGACGTCATAACGATCTGCTGCAGTTCCGCCGTTCCGGTGGGCAGCAGCTCCTGCCGCAGCCAGCCTGCTGCACCCATCCACATCACTCCCCCGCACCCTCGTGCCCCGGGACCCCCACCCCGACCTCGTATCCCTCACAAGGCAGCTCCGCGCTCCCCCGGACGCCCAGGAGCCTGCTAAGTACTGTGTTATCCCGGAGCCCGCCTGGAGCACAAGGAGCTGCCCGCTCCAGGGGAACACCAAGGGGACCCCCCTGCCTTCCAGCTGCCACCCACCCAGCACCAACCCATCCCCAGCAGCTACCGGCGTCTCCTCAGGTGCAGAGCGCGCTGGAGGTGCCCAACACCTCCTCTCATTTTATTTCCTGCAGATTCATCTGCCAAGGCATTCTCACAGGGAAAAGGGCTTTGCATTCACCAGAGAAGAGCCTGCTTTTCCCTCCCTCTTCAAATCCAGCATTCAGTCTGCAGGAAAACCCGCCTGTCTCCGCTGCAGCTGCCTTTGCCACGTGGTGCATTTGGCAGGGGAGGCACCAGCAGCCTGCCCTGTGCAGCGGTGGCCAAGGGCACGAGTGCGTGGAGGGCACAGGCAGCTCCTGCGAGTCCCTGAGGGGACCTGGGGCTCTTCAGCTACGTGCACAGCAGTGCAGATTCGGACTTTAAGAAACCCGCACCTTACTCAGCAAGTCAATGACACCCTCCCTGGTGAGGAACGTGACCTCACCAGCGTTTTGGCTCCAAACCTCGAACACGGCGGGGTCACCACAAGCCTTCTTCCCGGCTATGATCACGTACGGGTAGCCCAGCCTGTCAGCGTCTTTCAGTCTCTTGCCAATAGTCAGCTGAGTCCGGTCATCCAGCACCAGGTCGCCCGCGAGCTGTGGCGCAGCTTCGGCGACGTCGTCGTAGAGGCGCTCCAGGAGCGCGGCTCCCTTCTCCTCCCTGCTGCCCTTCTTGGGCGGGATGAAGCAGACCTGGTAGGGGGCAATGAGGCTGGGCCAGCGGATGCTGTCCTCGGTGGAAAGCACCTCCACGGCGGCCGCCAGGATGCGGGTGACACCCAGGCCGTAGCAGCCCATCTCTGCGAGCTGCAGCTTGTTCTCGGCGGTGCAGAAGGTGGCGTTGAACACTGAGGAGTACTTGGTGCCCAGGTAAAACGTGTGGCCCACTTCGATGCCTCGCGTGCGGGTGAGCGGCTCCCCGCACGTGGGACACGCCGCTTGCTCCGCGCTGATGGTTTCCGCGTTGGCCGCGAAGTGCCCGGCGGGGCAGAGGGCCAGCCTGTCCTCGCCCACCTCGGCCGGCAGCTGGAACTCGTGCGAGACGGTGCCGCCGATGGCGCCCGCGTCGGCCTGCACCCGCACGACGCGCAGCCCCAGCGCCCGGAACAGGCGCCCGTAGGCGTCGCACACGAGCTCGTAGGAGCGGCGCGCCGCCTCCGCAGACGCGTCGAACGTGTACATGTCCTTCATGTGGAACTCGCGGCCGCGCAGCAGGCCCAGCCGCGGCTTGGGCTCGTCCCGGAACTTCCTGGTGACCTGGTAGAGGCGCAGCGGCAGCTGCCGGTAGGAGAGGTTGCTCTGCGCGGCCAGCAGCTCGGTGACGGCCTCCTCGTGCGTGGGCGCCAGGCAGTAGCCCTTGCCGTGCCGGTCGGCCAGGCGGAAGAGCTCGGCGCCCATGCGCTCCCAGCGCCCGCTGGCCCGCCACGCCTCGGCCGCGCTCAGGCACGGCATGCTCAGCTTCTGCCCGCCCGCCGCGCGCATGGCGCCGTCCACCAGCGCCACGAGCTTCTCGAGGGCGCGCACGGCCGCGGGCAGGTAGTGGTAGCAGCCCGGCGCCGCGGGGCTGATGAGGCCGCCCTGCACCAGCAGCCGCTGGCTCCTGCACGGCGCCTCGCCGCCCGCCGCCGCCGCCTCGCCGCCCTCCGCCCAGCACAGCGGCTGGAAGAGCCGCGACACGAGCAGCCGCGGCCGCAGCAGCGCCGCCATGGCGGGAGCGGGAGCGGGGCCGGGAGCGGCTCCTCCCGCCGCCGCCTCAGGCGCCGCGCGACCCGCCGCCGCCGCCCCCTCGGCCAATGGGGAGGAGCGCGGCGCGTCACGTGGTGCAGCCCCTGCCGTGCGCCTGCGCAGAGCGGCCCTGGCGGAAGCGCTGGTCCGCCTCTATCCGCCCGGAGGCTCCGTCTCGGTGGTTCTTCCAGGGTGGGGCGGCGCCGAGGCCTTGCGAGGCGTTTCCCAACGCTCCATACAGAAATAAAGTCTTGCGTCTAAGCTCGGCTTTCGGGTCCAGGTTGCTAGGCGGAGATCAGCGTGGTGCTGGCCTGCGCAGCCCCTGCTCCCGGCTGCAGGGAAGGAGAACCACCATGGTGGGATCCCAGCACGGATCCCAGCGCGAGCCCCTGCCACCGGCGGCAGGAGGCTGCGCTTCCCTCAGCCCCGTGGCACCAGCACCAACAATGCCTCTTAAGTAGAAAAAAAGCAAGAATGAATCCTGGTTTTATTAAAAAAAAAAAATTAAAAAAGGAAATCATTTGTGATTTTTTTTTTTTAAATGGGAAATACACGTTAATGAGTACTCCCACACAGGTTGGGAAGTGGGAAAATCAGGGATTACCGGGCACGTTTTTGGTGCTCCCGGTTAATGTAGGCCATGAAGGCGGCTAACGGCTCAAGTCAGTGCCGCCAAGTGACAGGGTGTTGTGTCCAGCACCCAGAGCGGTGCAGGGCTGCCTGGCACCTCTGCTCCAGAGCCGGGATCCATGTCAGATCCCTGGCCGCGGGCAGCGGCTTCCAGCCCCTCCTGCCCCTCCCGCAGCTGCTCCTTGCCGGACACCGGGAGCTGAGCCCTCCCGCCTCTGCTTGGGCTGCGGGTCCTGCCAATCCAGACCGCTCCCGTTGTCCTTCCCGGCCTGCTAAGGACACGTTCCCAAGGCAAAGGCTCACTACCCGCTTATTTGAATGATGAACTATTTGAATCCTGCTTGATGACGGAGCTGCTCGTGCCGGTGCTGCCGGCATGGGCAGGGGACACCCCGTGCCGCGTTGCGTGTCCCTTGCGCCATGCCCTGCTTGCCTGGGAGGCGCGATGCTTTTGCAGGCACTCTTTGCATCACCCGTTCAAGCTGCTGAAGCAAACACATTTATCAGCGACTTACTGCCTGCTGTGCTGATCAGAGGCACGAGCTGCTCCCGTCCACTCGCCAGGGCGGTGTTTCAGCTGGGAGCGTTCAACAGAGACACGGTCTCGAGGGAAAGCTGATCTCTCATTGAATTGATGGGCAGGACTGAGCGAAAGGCTAAGCTTTTCTTTAGTAAATAAAGTGCTCCTGATTTTTTCCAGCTGTGCCAGTGGGCTCCACTAAAGCGGCCGCTCCTGCGCGGCCCCGTGCAGGTGCGAGGTCAGGCGCAGACGCGGGGTTGGTGACACCTTGGGCACGAAGGGCTGCGGTGGTGGCACCTTGGGCTCCTCACGGCTCCTCGTGCCCGCCGAAACGAGCGGCTTCCCCTGCCTCTGTGGTGAGCAGGGCAGCGCCGGGCTCCGGTGAACCAGAGCGGCCGCGGAGGCTCCGCAGGGGGCTCAGCATCCCGCGGCCGTTCCCTGGGGAACGGGGCACGCGGCGCCGTGGCGAGCGCCGCCGGAGCCGGCTCCACGGACACGGGCAGCGCGGGGCTCCCCTCCGGAGCCCAAGCAAAGGGGCCCTGGGGAAACAGGAGGGACGACTGAGGTCGCCCCCAGCAGGGTCTGCCCCGGTGGGGAGGCGAGCTCGGTGCCGTCCGGGTTTGTGCCGCAGGGCGCTGCTCCCGGAGATGGGCGAGACGGAGGCGGGCGGCGCGCGCCGGGCTGGCTGCGGGCCGGGCTCCCGCCGGGCGTGCGCCGCGGAGCCGGGCCGGCCCGCGCGCGGCACCCGCCTTGGCCATGACCCCCCGCGCGGGGACACACTCGGCCCCGGCGCTTACGACATCAGGGACTTCCTGCAGGAGACGCGGCCCTGCAGCCTCAGGGGCATCTGCGACACCAGGGAGAGGAGGTTTCGGGACATCCTCAGGGTATGTCCCGGCTGCCGGCCCCGCGCCGGGGAGCCCCAAGGCCAGGCCGAGGGGGCTGCCAGGCTGAGGGGCTGTCAACCCGGGCCCGCGTTGGCAAGACCTCCTGCCCGCGTGTTTGCTGCTGGAGAGCAGGACTGCAGGGACCTTGCGAGCTGCTCCCTGGCAGCACGAAGCACATGACGCCAGCGGGAGTCCTTGCCCCTTCACAAATCAGTGTCCCGCCCTGCTCTGGAGTACAAAAACAACCGTATTTTGGGTTAAACGTATGCGATCCAGCTGTTTCCACATGAGCATGGCATCAACCGGGCACCCCAGGGATGACTGGGCTTGGATACGTCCATGACATGGAGCTACCGAGCTAGGAGAGCAGGAGCAAGCAATGTGCCCGGCGTGTCCCATCCCGTCCCGTCTCTCCCGCAGGACTGTCCCCCCGGCCCTGGCACCTACGAGCCATGGCGAGTGCCCAGCGCGTGCCACGGGCGCTCGGCCACCTCGCGCGGCATCATGCACAGCCGGACGCCGCAGCGCGTGCTGCCCGCCACGCTGGCAAGTGCCACCCGTGCCCGGTGCCACCGGCGCCGCCGGCCCCGCCGCCCACCCTCACGGCCCGCGCGGCCCCGCAGGGCAGCGGCCTGGGGCCGGCCACCTACCGCCTGCCCAACAGCATCGACGAGCTGCTGCGGCGCGTCGTGAGCGTGCGCGGCCCCTACGAGCTCTTCTCGGGCGACAGGTCGCGGCCGGCGCCGCGGGAGCCGCGTGCGCAGGAGGTGCGTGGCCTGGCCGGCCGCACCGGCGCTGCTGGTGCGGGGTGGGCGCAGCCGGGCTCATGCCCGCAGCCGGCCCCGTCCCGCTCCTGCTCCGCAACGCTGTCCCCGGCAGCGCAGAGGCGCCGAGCTGGGCACCGGCGCCGTCAAGAGCTTCGTGGAGGAGCTGGCCTCGAGGGACAACAAGAAGAAAGGGGCCTTCAGCACCGTGCCGAGGGAGCCGCGCCGCCCGGCGCAGAGGATCTGCTGGGCCACGCTCAGCCAGTGCCCCCGCGACGCGGTGAGAGAGCCCGTCCTGGCGCCACCGACACAGCCTGCCATGTGGGGCAGGAGGCTCCGCAGCCCCGAGCAGCCTGGGGGGCAGGAGGCTCCTGCCCTCTCCTCTCCTGCCCTCTCCTGCCCCGGGGGCAGGAGCGAGGCGCTCGTGCAGCGGGTGCTGGACGCCGCCACAGGCAGCTGGCAGCTCCCGGCTCCCTAACACATGCCGCCGTGGTTGGCCACAGGCGGTACCCGCTGCTCCTGTGGCTTCCCAGCGCTCCTGGCCCTGGGCCCAGTGGCTGTGTATAGGCGTGTGGGCCTGTGCTAGGAGCTGGAGAGGGACCTTCTGATGTGGAGCAGCTCCTTTGACCAGCAAAACTGAGTGTAAGCAGTTTCCTTTTGTCGCAGCTTGCTGTAGGGCCGGGCTCGTACGACCCAAAGCCCTTGGAGAGGTCAAATTCCTTCAACCAACCCCCGTTTTGGTCGTCTGCCAAGAGATTCGACAGAAGGTCCTGCTGCCTCTATGCTGGGAATGAGGTGAGTGAAAAGGCACTGCGGTAAGAGACGGACACAGGGACTGTCCTGCTCTGAGCTTCCCCCGTGATCGTGCCCAGGCCATCGCTGTTCCCTCTCCTAGAGGATAAAACCTAGGAAGGGTGGGATACACCTCGCCCAGGCTCACACATCTAGAGCTTTGGTGTCCTCAGCATCTTCTGAGCAAGAGACGTCCTGCACTGGGACACACTGACCTCAGGAGGTGCCTTCTCTCTCCCTGCTGACTAGCAAGGAACCTGGGTGACTTGGTCACACTCTAGTGCTTCAGCCAGGAGCTCAGGCCCTCTCCTGCCATTGTCGTTCTTGCACAAAAAGAGTTGCTAAAGAATAAGGGGTGAAGCCCCTCATCTTCACAGGTCCAAAGTCTCTGAGAGTCCCCGCTCTTTGGCTCAGCACCAGTTGCATTTCACAGGTGGGGACAGCAAGGAGACCGTCTGTTCTGAGCCCTTTCAGGTGCTCCATGAATCCTCCTAGAAAGTTACATATTCAGCTGCTTAAAAGCAGCTATTTCTTCTCACAGCAACAGCAACGAGCCGGGCAGATGTGAGCCCTTCCCTCAGAACCGTCCGTAGAGCCGCACTCATCCTCGCAGCTTCCCCACGGGGAGCTAGAACAAAGCGCAGAGGGCTCAAAGCAGGCGAAAGCTTCCGTGTGAACTAGTCCGGCTCGGTGAGGAGCAGACTGCCATGGGGCTGCCTGCCTTCATGCAGCCGAGCGCGGAACAGGCAGCCGGGAGAGGTCAAGGATGAAGACGCCTTCATAATTGCAGGGGGAGCAGGCAGGTCGCGCTGCAGTTGCAATAGAGCAGCCCTTGACTCGAGCTAGCGGTAGGCAAAGCAGGGAGGATGTTTGAGCCAGCTGAGTTAATCAGGCCCAGCTTCTTTGCAGACTAAAGGAGCTGCTTGTGAGGGGCACTGCCTGGGCTAACACCCTTCAAGAGGTCTCCTCCTCCCTCCCCTGCTGCTTAGACAGTTTTGTTAATATATTTTGTTGCCCCTGCGACCACGGGCAGACACATGTGGCCTTCTCCTTGCAGAATCCTGTTGGTGTGGGTCGCTACAACATCACCAAGCACGAGAAACACCCTCGGAAGATCAGGTACCAGTCGCTGTACCAGAGCGAAACGCGGCGCTACCTGAGCAACTTGGAGCGGGATGCCTACTTGCTGTAAGTCCGGCGTGTGATGGCTGCTCCGCGCGCTCCATAGCGACTTCCAGGGAACGTATTGCTCGGAGCAGGTCTCGGGAGGCCGCGGGGACATTATCAAACATTTATGAGTGATGCAAGAGGCTGAAGAGCAGAGGGGTGATCGTGTAGTTAGGGCTGTGGTTTGGGCCTGAGGCAGCAGCCCCGGAGAGGACGGGACCCTGCGCTGATAACCGGGTGGGTGGCTTCGTTCCCAGGCTGGCACTGAGCTGCTCTGCAGCCTCCAACAAAAACCCTCTTTTCCTGCTGTGTCTCGAACTACCTCTTTGGAGAAGGGGGCTGAGCAGGCTCCCTCCCATTATCCCTGGAAATCATCAGGATGAAAGCCCTGATGCACTGTTAGGAGCCATCCTACTGAGGGACCTCGGGACAGCCCCTTGCTTTCACCTTTACTCCTGGCCAAGATTAGCAACTGCGGTTGCACTAAGACCGTCAGCACTGCAAAGGCTTCGTTACTTTCTCTATTTTTTCCTATTCTATTTTTTCTGTTTTTTTTTCCACTTCATCTGAACATAACTGAGGGCAGCTTGCAGTGGGGCAGCTACAATTCAGCTGGCTGATCTGATGGAGGAGGAGGCAGAAGGAAAGGCAGCTTTCAGCACCGCGTGGCTTGCTTGATTTTGCAGTTCCAGCAGGTATAAAAGGCAGCCTGAACGACAAGCAGGACCTGTGATTGAAACACGGTGAATGGATCGCTGTGATCAAACAGCACGAGCCCCCACATCACTTTGCAGGCTAACGCAGTACTTCCAAGGAAAGAGCCAGGCTTTAGAGCTCTGCTCACCTCCAAGCTCATTAAGATTAACAAGATTAATCCAGCCTAGACGTTGAGCCCACTGAATTGCATCCTCTTTTCACAGTGAGCGGCTCAAGCCTTCTGCAAAGAGCAACTGGAAGGATTTGACTGCTGCTCCGCATCGCCCAGCTGCCTCTGAAGAAATCATCGCTGTTTGCTGAACTTTTGATGGTGCTGAAAAGCAGCAAAACTGTGAGGAAAAGTGCAAATAAGCTGTGGACACACCAGTGGATGAAGCTGTGTAGATAAAAATACCAACATGGTAGTAGTGGCGTCAAATTCAAGAGCAGGAAACAACTCGTCTTATTCTGTGCTAATAAAATGCTCTTCCTTGGATAAACAACAAACTGCTTACTCTCAGTAATGCATCACTCCAGCTTCAGCTCATATAGAAGCTTAAGAGGAGATCAAAACCCATGTCTCATGCCACACACAGCTCCCTCAGTGTAAATATTTCCTTTCCAACTGCACCACACTACTTAGAGGAGTCACCCATATCTGTTACTCTTGTGGTAGTGATGAGAAGCCCCCAGGGTGCCGGAACTCACGTTGTTCTTGTGGGAAGCAACACGATGGCTACCCCAAGGCCCAGCAGGTACAACACAAGCGATGCTGCTCTCTCTGGGGAGCAGTCACAGCAGCCAGCCGTGTGCAACGCAGCCCACGTACCTGTCCTGGGCCACCCTCGGCTGCTCCAGGCGCGGGAGCGGACGGCTGCACCGGGATAAGCAGCACGAACGCTTAGGAAAAGCCGCTGGGATTTAGGATCCTCGTTGCAAGCTTTGTGGGATGTCAAAACCCTGGATGCAGGGAAGAAAGCGAAACGAGCAGAAAGCTTTAGCAGTGGTAATGAGGCGGCCGTAAACCTGCACCAGGAGTGAGCTGGCTCATTTAGAGTTAACCTTTCTGCAGTGTCGGAGTAGCACTTAGACCCGGCTGGAGTAATTAAATTTAGGCTTAATTGCATGTTAGTTATGGCTGATTAAGTATGCTAATTAATTTGCAATTACCCTTTGGTGGGGGATAGAATTGAGCACAGGTAAAGCTGTGGTGATTTAAAGAAATGCTGATTATTGCAATAGGAAGGCAAGCAGAGGAGGAGGAGGTCTCCGAAGGAAATGCCCACACCATGACATGCCTGAGGGTGGGAGACAGCAAAGCTGCTGGGCAACAAAAGGGGGAATTGGGAAAAGCAGTGCCTGTCAGGACTGAAAAAGATTTGACTGGAGGAACGCAAGACTATGGTACCTAAATTGCAGTTTCAAGGGGGTTCAGGGATTCACCAACCTTGATTTGGGGAGAAAGCATTGCAAATTGTACAAGGGAGGAGACCAGCACAAGGGGATGTGCTATGCCCATAAACAGCCTGGGGAGGGAGGTTGCTCTGATGGTTCTTCTGAGGAAATTGGGAGTGAGGATGTGAAACTCCAGAGGTTGAGGAGGGTGTTGAATCTTGGCCTCCATCTCTCTGTCTGGCTACTCAACCTAGGGGCTAGTCTGTGCCAAGAGCAGTAGCACCTAAAACCAAATTCATTTTTGTCTTTAATCGCCAATTATTCACAGAGCAAGGAGGTAGCGAGGAGATAAAAAGTAAGGGGAACTGACAGGATGATATGAAGAAATACTTAGAGTTATTAGAATGTAGCTGAGAGCTTGAGGCTCAGCTACCAGGTGCTTGCTTTGTACTTGCATGTCATGGGGTAGAGGTAAGCGCATAGCCACAGCTTGCAATAACACTGAACCTCAGCACCAGGAGCCTCCTGTCTCCACAGCCTCATCACACCTTGGGCCTCCTGCTCAGAGAGCAGCTCTTCTCCGTGAGCCTCTTCCAACAACGCAGCAAGCACAGGAAAAGAAATGTTTAAAAAAAAGGTAAAAAGTAAGTAATCACTCCCTGAAAGACACCACAGAACAGTACACTGGTTATTTTTATTTTAAACAGCTCATACAATGAAAAATGTCAAGACCACCAGCAGTTATGTGTGTGCACGTGTGTGACTGGTATAGTCATAAGTGACAGTACCAAATCACATCATACCAAGTGTGCTGATAAATTAGGAGTGGAAAACAAATACAGTGCATACCTAGAGAACAGCAGTACAAAAGTGTAGATACACAGCTTCAGTAAAAGCAGTTGCATCTCTCTGGTTGTTTTACCGTTACCCTTCTAAAAACTAACCAAATTCTTGCTCGGTGCAGATTATCTCACAAGCACTGCTCTAATCACAGCTTTGCCACAGGGCCAAGGAAACTGCTCTCTCCCTGCTCCCTGTACGGGGCAGGGAGGCAGGTCACAAGTCCCGTTTCCTTCGTAGCCTGGAGCAGCGGAGCAAACGCTCCGGGATCACGGACCCAGCTCTCCTGGCACCCGGCTCCCGTGTCCGCCCGGCAGCTCCGGGCTCGGAGCAGCTCCGGGTGGGAGCCTGGCGCGGGCTGCGTCTCCCCTCGCTGCTCTGCTGCCCGGCCCTGCGGGGCGCAGGGCTTGGGGGGCCACCCTGTTCGCACCCCGTTTGCCCAGCGCATGTCACCGGGCGACAGGCCAAGCTTACTCGCTACTGCTTTATCATTGGTTTCATCTGGATCATCAACATCCATCTATCAATAAATAAAATCATTGGTTGAGCACTCAAATAAAAAAAGAAAAAACCCAAACTTCCCTCTGACAAGTTTTCGGTGAGCTCCTCACATTCCTCCCTACACAACCTGCAAGGACACTCCTTTTTTCCCCGCCTCGAGCTCAGTCAGGTTTAAAGCACCCATTTCAAGGGCTGCTCGGACAAGACACAGATGTGGTTTTCAGGTGGGTTTCTGCCTACAAGGTCGAAGCATCTCCACCCTGGCACAGGAGCTCGTGGCAGGCTGCTCATGCCAGCGTGGGACGGGAAGGGCACTGCTGGTTCCCTCTGCAGGGGACCTGTCACGCGGACTATCAAACTAAGCCAGCGAAAAACAAAAAGCCAAATTGTCACTGCGAGCCCGTCCACGAGAGGAGCTTTCCTTACCCACAGCCACTTCCTCCAAGCGCTCGGGTATAATAGAGGCTGTAACTGTCAGAGCAGGACATGCCTCCCTCTGCTGCTGGCCAGGACGGAATGATCCGAAATGACCCATTTCTCCCTCCAACTGAGCACTTATAAGGCACTAAAATTAAGCAAAAACCTCCCAAAACAATCAATCAAAAAAAAAAAAAAAAAAAAAACCCAAACCACAACAAAAAAATCCAATAAACTGACACATGCAAAAACCAAAAATAGTATTTGCCCATATGAAATAGCAGCGATTTCTTCAGTAGTCCAGGAAGCCAGAGCATTGATATTTTGGGAAGGAAAACCAATACGAAATCCCTAAAAACCTATATCCAACTTATAATCAAGATCAGTATAAGGTCGATAGGCACAAGTAAAGAGCATTTTCTTCACGCTTAAGCTCCGTAACAATTCCTCCAGTTTCCAAGCTGGGTTGAGCTGTTCTATTGAGACTACAGTGCCCTACAGCAGAGGATAGCCCGGGGGGTACAGTACCATATATACCATATACACAGAGTACTGTACAGCGTGAAGATTATAGTACTGTGCTGCAAGCAAAGGTTTTCAACCTCATGACACTCTTAGCATTTCTTTCAACTTTGGCACCTATTTCTGTGACCTCCTCATCACTTTCAATAGTAATTTTAAATACAACTACGGCAAATAGCTGGTGTAACGTATTTTCTTCCCTTTCCAACTATTTTCCATGAAACTAGGTGAATTCACCTATGTCACTACATCAGATCCAAGACACAAAGGTTAGCACTTCAGATTTCTTAAATAACAATCATTTTGAGTTTGGAAGAGCAGTTTAAAAACATACTAATGAATACTAAACATAAATTCAGAAAGCAGAAGTTCATACCTTTAAAACATCAGCGAGAACGAGCTTATTTGGACAGCAATAAAGCCTTGTTGTTGTTTTTTTTAAAGGATATACTGACTAGCTACAGGTAAATCTATTTCTCCCTGATTGCTTGGTTGGGTTATTCAGGCTCAGTGCCTCGCAGCTTTGCAGATTTTGTCATACACTTCTGGAAAGGCATCCTTGCAATTCATTTGCTCCCTCAGCTTATGGTATAGCGAGCCATCAAACATATCCCAGAACTCCTCCCGGGTCATATAGCAATCTGCATACAGCATCTGGAAACTGCAGGGGGAAAAAAGCCAAACGAGAGGGTCAGCATTTCTTGTGCCACAGGATTTCAGAACAAAAACAAAACTAAACAATCACACACACAAAAAACTGTGGGCTATAAACAGTAAATATTCAAAACAAATCAAAAAAATTTAAAAAATATAACTGTCAGTATGAGTTATTATGCTGTTACAGCTAGTAGTATTAAATCCCCAAGATACAATCACGACGCTCTTTCTAAAAGGAAGTAAAATATAATAATGAAAACAGCTGAATACTCATATAGCCCCTTTTGATGGTGAAGGGGAGGATGGGAAGACAACTGCCTCAAATATTACTTTAAAATTTGGTTCAGAACACTTCCTTAGCCATCAATGTATTGGCATTTCTATTAGTTTTACTGCCCTGCTAAGTGAAAGGGAGAAAAGCTAAAAAAAAAAAAAAAAAAGAAGAAAAAGCGTCTGAAAGAATACAATTCATTTAAGAAAAGAAAAAAAAATCTTATCCGTATTCAGATTTACCAACCAGCTGCAATCAAATCTTCTAATGTGTTCCAACAACTTGTGTTCATAGAAATGTAGGTCTAGGGAGGGAGAACTTTAAAAGTTCCTCCAAATCGAGAGGCTGGTGTCAATGCACGGGATAAAAATCAAACACGACCTAAATACCCCAAGACAAACAATCCCACCCTAGTTTATCCTGCCCTTGAACTGTTTTTGAAAGCCTGCTTGCTTTTTCCTCCATTCCAAAGCTTTTAATTTCATAAGCTTTCATTTCATTATGTTTTTTCCTGCATATTTTTTATGCAGTACACAGATACAATTCTGGCTTCTCATATTAGTCAGCATCTCACCAGGCAGTCAAGACAGATTTGCTTTGATGCTTTTAAATGTCTTTGAATTGGATGTTGAGAATAGAATTGGGAAAGCAAAAGACTCCAGCTCAGACCAGACCAAGAATATAAATAAGTTTACACTGTAAATGAAACAGTGCAACATAGCACCATTTCCATATGAAATCATTAATTAGTTGTGGACTATTCCTTACTTCTCTATTATCCCCTCCACCTAAATTAGAGTACAGGAGTAAAACAAACTATTTCAGAAATGCTCTGGTCTTGTGTGTGATTATGAAACTGCAATGCTGTCCTAATGACAGCTGCAGAACAGACAAAACTCTGTTAATAAGAAGCTTTAAATAAAAAGCTGAATTTTGAGTTAATTAAGGAAAGCTTTAAATGAACTTTCAGTGGCTTTGTTCTCTGGCAGATCACTTATAGCTGCAAGCCACTGATGCTCCCCAGACCATCTCGATGCAGACTTGCTGCTGTTAGTATAAGCCACGGGGAATATAACCCCTGAGAGATGAGAAGTATGTCAAAATAGAAATGCAGATAAATGATACCCATGGCATGAATACCACGCTGTTGTTTTCTGTTGCTGAGGAACAAATTTGTAACTGTTCCTCCATGGCAGATGGTGAGTAAATAACCTCAGTCCTTCGGTGATCCTACCTAGCGAGAACCTGGGTGGTGAAAAGCCGCGGCAGGGAGCGAGGGAACAGGGAGCTGCTGCCGGGCTCTGCAAGGAGCCTCAGCCAAGGGAACAGCCTCCAGGGAAGCCATCCAACCTCCTAAGAGCCTGTGGGATCAGGGAAGGGCCTGCGGCCAGCGGGACAGGCCAGTGCCCGCTCTGCCCTGGCACGAGCGCCCGCTCGGTGCTGCCGGCCCCAGGCAGCCCCTTCGTGCCCCCTTCGTGGTACCCGTGGCCAGGGCCCCCCCGTGCTCACAGCAGCCCGTGTGCCCGTCCCCGTGCACGGGCAAGAGGCTCTTTCTGCCAAAGAGGAGGCTCCGAGCCAGGGCTCAGAGGTTCCTTTTGGTTTGCACAACCAAGCTGTGAAGTTCGACCACACTTAAAAACAGCAACAGCAAAATTAGTAATTAAGTCACCCTTCTGTTATTGTGACGTCTAAATTATCACAGTGCTAAATTGTTACAGTACTTATTAATACTGTATTAATACAGTACTTATTAATACAGTATATTAAACAAGACAGTTTTAAGCTACACTGCATGGTTACTATTCTGAGAAGCAGAAGCCTTACCCATGAACGCTTCTGACAAACTTTTCCATTTGTCTCATCGAAGCCCTGGCTTCAAAATGTTTTGTTTTGGGCTCTCCATAAGCTCCTATATCCACGTAGAGTTCTGCTTCATCCCCTTTTGGGTGGACCATGCCAGGATTATTGGGCAGTATGAAAGGACACAGCCAAAGAGGGTATACCTGCCAGAGAGAAGAAAGCACTTTATCACTTATTAAAAAACAAAGGACAAAAAAAAACCAAGAAAAATATTTAAATATCTATTAATAAAGGTAACAAAATAAAGATTTAAGAAGACTTTGTTACAGTTTAAGGATGTAAACTTACATGCATCTTCCTTTCCAATTCTCTTGCTACGATTCTTAGATCTACTTTCTAATGAGCACAATGCAAATGAATTAAGATGCTCAAAAGAAGTGTAGCATTCTCCACGAATGACATCCTCCTATTAGATACCTTAAGAGCTGAATGGAGTACATTTAAAACTGAAGACAATGTCCCTGATCTCAAAGAAAAAAAAACGAATACTCATTCTGAATAAAGTGGTTTCTCTTTTCCAGCTCAGTCCAAAATTGGAACTGGGAAGTCTGTACTTCTGCTAATACAATATAATCAAGATCAAAAACAAAACAAGAAATTCATTCCCACAGCTTGGATTCCATGAGAGCCAGTGACTTCAACTGAATGAAAAATCAGTTCAGGCTTTGCTAGATGATAAAGTCTTATGTTAGTCTATTATAAATTTAATCTCGTAACTTTAGCCTTTTTCAGAAAGCTACGTTCATTCCTTCTGCAGCCTTGCACTAGATTGTGAAGCACAGTACTCCCCACCAGATAATGACCAAGCAGAGCTTTATGTCTTAAAAGTAGTAGTCAATATTCATATTATACAAAAGATTTATTGCATTCTAAAAACGTGTGTTCTTACATTAATATCAGCATGGAAGGTTTGGATAGATTTTTCCAGGCTCTTCATGGGGACCAGCATGTCTTGCACAACGTGATGTTGCTCATATAGCTTTCGAATTGCTTCCCCTTGAGTCAGTTTTAACAAGGAGATTTTTGGAGGAGCCATCCAGCCAAACAGGTAGCGGAAAATAGGGTTATTGCCAAAAGGAATGATATCCTTTAAACAGGAAAGAAAAAGAAAATGTGACGTAAGAATATCTATGTGAAACGAAAGACAGTATTTCAGTCCTGTAAAGCTGTAAAATTTTAAGTACTCCCTGCACAGTCAATTCCTAATTAATTTCTTCAGGACCAATAAGTCTTGGTACCTCATTGCAGCGAGTTCTGAAGTGCTGCCTTAATGCACGACAAATACATTTATGAAATTAATGATCTCAAGGCCCAACTTCATTAATATTTTATGAATTCAGGCAGGGCTTATTTTCAACCATAATTCTGCATTCCTGTTTTTCTATTGCCTATCTTTGGAAGTCACTTGAGAGGTATGGAGGCTTAAAATATGTGCTTAAGGTCTGAATTCAGAAAAGCACTAACATAGAAATTAGAAAGTTATTAATCCACATGCATCTTTAAAGAAGGGCCTTTAGGTTTGTATTAGCACTACTACGTTGCTTTAATATTTGCCCTGAACTCAGCTGGATCCTTTCTGCCTTGAAGGACATTAGTGTTGCCAAGAGGCAGAAGGTACAAGGTATCTCTGGAGGGAAAAAGCAACCGTTATTTTAACTCTGAGAGTGGACTTGAACCCTGAAGTGGTCTTACTTGGAGCTCCCAGAAGATGCTACGGGTATGTCTATGGTAATAATGTCTTGAGGGAATGTACTCTATTCCAGTTCTGTCAGCTTTCAAATACTTCTCCACATGCTTAAAGAACCATGGCTTGTAATAGTTCCCAATTCTGTTTATCTGTAAGAAGGGAAATGTATATTCATTAGCAAATGCCAACACAAATAACTTTTACACTAACAATAAGAGATTGTTCTGATCATGTAACGATTCTGCTTTTATTGACATAAGGTAGAACACCTTCAATTAAACTGCGTGCAGGGGGATGTTTTCACAGTAAATAGTTACCTTCTTTGGTTGAGCTTCATCAGTCAGGACTCCTGTCATGATAACTGCTTCGTCCAAAGAATAAACAAGTCCTTCCACAAAGCTGTTCTCCTTCTTCTTAGACTCTTCAGCAAACCTTTCACAAATCTTCTGCAGTCCTCTCACAGGCTCATAGTGTAATTTTATATATTTCTTGGCAGGAATCATTTTTATTTCTGCTGCAACCAGGAACCCCAGAGTACCACAAGACCAAGGCACTGCATAAAATAGGTCTGAGTTTTCAGTCTGAAAAAAGTATGTCATACTAAATCACATGTCCATATTGATAACAGTCAATGCATTGTAAATGATAGCAAAATAACATAGTCTCTTACTGGTGAGCATCTCACAAGGCTTCCGTCAGCGAGGACAAGTTCATAGGCCACACAGGTATGTTGAAAAAGACCATAGATGTGGGATGAAGACTCAATGCCTGTTCCCATGATCAGCCCACCTTATCAAGAGAGCACACAGCAAATCAAGAGATTTCATTTCAAGATGAACGCTGTTTAAGAGAACAAAATTTCATTTTGAAGCTCTGTGCGTGGCTTTTAAGCCTATTTAATAAAAGGGAAGTGCTTATAGCATAAATGACAAAATATAAAGTTCCAAGGAATACTTCAGGAACCTTTTAAATAATGCAATGTGTTACTGCATGGAAAACAAAAGCAAAACAAACAAAAATCCTCCAAAACACCAAAAATGTGGAATCAGATTCTTGTCACCATAACAACCCTTACCTACTGTCAGGTCATCAAGTTCTGGTACCACAGGAATAGTCCAGCCCATAGGATTTAGGTGTGCTGTCAGCTGACCCATGGTGACCAAAGGTTCCACACGGACAATCTAAAAAGGCAAATAACAAAATAACAGAACTCAAACCCAAGTCTCCCCAAGATAAATTAAATGTTCAGCATTAAGGGTGACAAAATATGGATAACTGGATTGTGCTTCCATCTGTTAGCAGAATTCAGAGACTTACTTTCCCCAAAGCAACCCTAAAAATAGTGGAAGCTGTTTAGTGATTCCTCCTCTGCCTCAACATCTTGTTGCTCAGTCCCTCGAAACACAAGTCAATCTGGTCTTTCACACTTCAGCACATAAAATTAAACAATTCCATATGCTGTGTTTTGGGTTTTTTTTTTACCAGAATGATCTAAGCCTTTACTGCAGAGCCTGAAATTTGGTAGGCCTATTGTTTATAGTTCTCCCACAGTTACTTATTACAACAGTGCACATCAGTTTATAACCATAATATGTTAATCATTAATGTCATTAATCAGATATTCCCCACATGCAGTAAATTTGAGCTGAGCATTTGTGTACATAGATACAGTTTATCCTGCTGATTCAACAACTTGATACCAACGCCCTGGATATATCATATGTCACCAGTGGCAAAGCACATTTTGTGAGGAATAAACAGCATTTAGGAAAAAAAGTATTTTCTCCAGCACATGAGAACAGGTTGAAATACCATGCAAGGCTAGGCAGCCCCAGCTAAGAGAATCAACAATGGATTTGCTTACACAAGAAGTTCTTGTTTATTCAGTTTGTTCAAGGTTGTTTTGTTTTGTTTTGAAAAAAAAAATGAGTTGAAAAGTCTTTCTTATGATGCTCCATATTTATGGAGATTATGAAGGAATCGTTTAGGCATTAGGAAAAAAAGGAAAACGCAAGAGTAAAGATTATGATCAGCTTCCCCAAATCCTTTTAGTTGTTTTAGCAAAATACCCATGATTAATTTAAATTAACTTAAAACAGTTTTTGAGTTTAAAATATTACTAGCCCCTTAGTAGTGATGCTACAGTGACTGCTACAGAAATCCAGGAGCCTGGTTTGGATTGCTGCCTCTCTGGCCAGACAGCAGGAACTCAAGTACTGAGTTCAAGTTTTAAAGAGAAGTAGAGGACCTTCATGTAAAGAGAAAGCCTTTTTGAGAGGTTCTTTGTTTGTTTGTTTTTTATTTGCTTGGCTAGGAAGCCAAGCCAGTTTTTTAATTGCCAAGGCTGGGAAGCCTTGGTCCATCTGGCACAGCCAAGTCTTAACACTGCAAGCAAATATTTAATCCAAGGAGGACAATAAAAAAATCCCTGAGACAAGGGATTTTTTACAGTCCTACACTAGGATTTGTATTCTTTTTCTCAACAGAAATCACTTGCTTTTTAGAGAATTTAATCCCTGCTTCAGCTCTAAAGCCAGTAAAAAAACGTAAGTCTTATTCTTGCTGCCGCTTTGTGGGGTGTTTGTTACCTGTCTTTCGCTGTCCACCTCAAGAACATCCATTAGGTTGATCATGATGTTCTTGTGAGTCTTCTTGTACTTCCCAACGCGAAGCGACACAGTCAGCCAGCCGGGCCGCCCCGTGCACATGTATCTCTTGCTGCCCTCATTCTTCCACTCCCGAACCTGCAAGAGGCCATAAGGTATGCAAGGGTATGCAATAATCTAGGATAGAAACATTTCCCCTCAGTGTGGAAAAGAAAATTAAATTTCATTAAAGTTAATGCTTGTTATTAAATACAGAAATATAGTTGAGCCTGAAAAGGAATTGGAAAAAAAGAGAAAGGTTGGGAAGAAAAATGCCTAGGACAGACACGGGATCTGCAAAGTTTGAGAATAAATATAATTTCTTGTGTTTTCTTCAAAGCTAAACAGCTAATACAGGCTCTTACTGGTGATAAAAATCCACAAACCCTCAGACAGTAGCTCCAGGGACATTAGGATCATCTGCATCCACTCCATTCACAACAAAGATGAGTGACAAAGAACAAAACAGCTGCAAACACAACAGAATTACCATACATACTAAAGAACACAAAAGCATTAAGGAATTCTCTGGAATCCCTAGAGGAAGAAAAGTTTCAGCTCTGCTTCAATCATTTCTTTGAAGTAGCAATAATGAGAGGCAGGATGCTGGGGCAGGATGAACACGCTATTAAAGCACAATGTTGAGCCAGGAATTCCGAAGACTGCAACGTTTTTGTGTTAAATGTGTGAGGTGAGATGAGATCCGTGGTGTATTTCCAGCGGTGTTACCACAGCAACGGGACAGCCAAACCTGCACATTCCACCTGTTCCACGCAACAACTTTTAGGAGAGTTTTGAAGGTAAAGGTGCAGGGAATAAAGTTTCTATCGGCGCTTCTCACCCCTTTTCCCAGCCCCACAACCACATCTGAAATCACCGACGGATCCCAAGGTGCTGCTGCCGATGCTGGGAAGCAGGAACGGGGGGGGCTCGATTTGGGGTGCGTGGGGTGGGAGGCGCGTGGGGGTGTAGGGGTGGGCAGGACGTGTCTGCCGGGGGCAGACGGAGCGGGATGGGAGGTGTCTGTGCTGGGGGGAATGATGTGTATGGGGAGGGTTAAAAGGAGAGGGATGGATATAGCATGGGGGGGGTCAGGGATGTAAGGGGTGTGGGAGGGTTGTCCGGGGGTTGAATAGGCGGTTGTGGGGGGGATGTACAGGACTGGGGGGGTATGTATAGAGGTTTGCATGGGAGGGATGTATAAGGGTGGAGGAAGCACGCAGGGCTGTGGGGGGTTCCAGGCTGCAGGGGCATTTCAGGGGTGTCGGCGTGGGAAGGGTGCAGGGGTGAGGGGGGGGCGTTGCAGCGCATGGGGTTGGTGTGGG